CAGCCACCATAGCGGTATCGACTACGCCGACCCGGAGAAGTTCGTGGACTCGGGCCAGGACCGGGATCCCCACCAGCTCAACTCGCATCTGAAGGTGCAGGCGGGGAGGCCCTGAACCTGGGCTGGAGGCGCCCCTGTCCCGCTCCCAGCCCCCAGCCCCCAGCCCCGGCACCCATGCACCTTGCCGGGGTTCCCTTCTGCTAGGCAAACTGCTACGCGTCCAGTTGTGCTCCTAAGGAAAGGTGGGGATGCCCTGGCCCCGTCCTTCCCTGCCTCTGCCGCCTTCCTCGCTCCTGCTTCCCCGAGCCCCAGTGTGGGTGACAGTTCGGTCCCCACGTCTTGTCTCGGCAGCTGGGCTTTGACGATGTGATCGCGGAGCCAGTGACCACGCATTCCTTTGACAAAGTGTGGATCTGCAGCCATGCGCTCTTCGAAATCAGCAAATACGTGATCTACAAGTTCCTGACGGTGCTCCTGGCCGTCCCCTTGGCCTTCGCCGCGGGAATTCTCTTTGCCACCCTGAGTTGCCTGCACATCTGGTGAGAAGGGGCACGCGGGGTGGACCCGCTTCTGACAAGCAGGGATGGGGTTTTTATTGCCATCTTGCCCTGCTCTTCCTTTCTCCCAGATCGGTTTGTAGAGGGAAGAAAACGCCTCAGTTCTCATGCAGTGGCAAAAAAAATGTAAGGAAGGCCTGCAAAGCACAGTGCGCACTTCTTAACAATAATAGTTCGGGCTGGGAGTTTAAACAGAAGGAAGAATGCGCCTCTTTCCTACGTGCTATTTTCCTTCCCAGAGTGAAGGCCAAGCTGAGTGTGGAGGTGGGGACTTGGAAGCAGGCTTCCCGCAGGCTCCTGTCTCAAAGGGCACTGTTAGGACTTGAGCCTGTGGTTCTGGGCAGGGTTCTTTCTTTCTTTCACTGCCTTTTATTCAGGCACACCTGTGCCTGGGGCCAAACAAGAGATCTCAGAGGAGAACGCCATGATATAATTGCACAGCAAGGTCAAGCCTGGCTAAGCAGTGCAGGAGGGCAGCTCTGGCCCTGCTTGGCAGGTGGCAGGGATGAGACCCCAGGAGATGGGAGGTGTGTACACTGACCGGAAGGCCGCTCCCCCCGCCCAGGAAAGGTGCCGGAAACTGAAATAAGAATCAAATTACTTTTTCCTCTGTAAGGCACAAATGGAGGTGCCATCCAGTTAAAAGGAAAAGAAATTTGGAAATCCGGTGGACATTGATAGGATATTTTAAGTAACTTTAGTCATACTTTTAAGCATTACAAAATGTAAGGAAAGCATTGTATTCCAAGAACTTTTGTTGTTGTGTTAAAGGATATCCACTTTATTCTGAAAGGAAGAATTGCCTGTGTTTCACTACAGTTGTCAAGTAGGTGCATCAAGGTATGGTCCTGGCGAGATGTGTGACCGCAGATGCCTCTTTAAATGCAATAGATGGCCTTACTCCACCCAAGAGATGTTCAGTGCTCCTTGTTAACCATCACCAAACGAGTATCATTCCACCTCCTTAACACTGTTACCTCCATTTCTTTAGTCAGCCAGCTGTCAGTCTCATAAACTAAACCTACTCAGTGCTCAGTTGATGTTGGCTACTTCACATAGGAGGTCCCTTCAGCGTACCCACTGCCCGTCAGGCTGGCTGCCTAGGCCAGGTGTGAGCACTGGGAAGACACATTTAACTCTGACAGAGAAGAAGGAAGCGCAGGGAAGACTGTGTGTGGGAAAGAGATCTAAAAAGTTAAAGAATAAATAAAATTTCACCAGATTAGTAAAGGATAAATAAAGGTCTATGATTTCATCACTGAAAGTTGTAAACAGTTATGTTGCAAGTGCCAAAACATGGCCAGAGAATCGGAAATGTGGCCTTCACACATGTGCAGACCCATGAAAGCCAGGTGTATGTACAGTTATCGCATGTTCTGACATTCCCGAGCACGTGGACTCTTAGAGATCCCTAACTTAGCACATAAAATATGAAATTACTAATTAACTAAACCAGTCATTTTAACCCGTGTGTCAATTTTGTGACTTTCAAAATGTGAAAAATAAGTGATACATGGACTAATGTGAAAATCTGGCTGTGAGGCTATTTGGAAATAGGGAGTGCCATATTTGTAGTCAGCAAAACTAGGCTTTCCCAAAGCTTTTTGGAAAAATTAGAAAAAAACAAGTTTTTCATTTACTAGACGGTGGAAGATATAAGTAATACTACAATTAATCACACGATGCCTATCTCCACCTGGTTCTCCTTAGAATCAGGAATTATTTTTGTGTAGTTCTTCCCTTGGTGAATCATCAACCAACTTCCTCTTTAGCCATCTAAAATGTATTACTTAACTTCGGCTTGTTTTTCAAGTCACTTTCATGTGAAACAACAATATTTAACTATAATCTGTCATCAGGCAGCTGCAATTGTATGTACAAAAGTAATTTCAATCAAAAATGCTTAAATGCTATTTTATTCCTTGGTGACATAGATTAGTCATTAATGGATTACATTCCCATGACACATAAGACCAAATGAGAGGCCTTATAGAACAGCAAATCCATTTAAATATCTCTCTTTCTCTTTCTCTCCCCCCCAACCCCTCTCCCTTCCTTCCTTCCTTCCTTTCTTTTTGTTTGGTTTATTTATTTTAGGGGGGGTTAATTAGTGCTTTATCAAGAAGTTGATAGTGGCCAAAGTTCAGAAAATATGCAACAGTGGAACTCTGAACCAAGTCTCCCAATACCTGACTTTAGATTTTTTTTTTCAAGATAGTCTCCCTATTTTGCCCCAGCTTTCTTTGAACTCCAAAGATTCAAGCAGTCTTCATGCCTCAGCCTCCTGAGTAGCTGAGGCTACTTGTCAACTGTATATACCACTGTACACAGCTTGATTTTATGTTCTCTACAGAAACAAATAACAACCAAAACAAAAAAACAGAAGCCTAATGATATTGAACTCTAGACCAGCAGTGCAGTCATTAAGGACTGATGAATGTTTTGATTCCATGCTGCACTCAGATTTATGTCATTGGACATAAATGGATCATAGCCAAAGAAATGTGACTGGAATATTTGTACTTTTTTACATGTGCAAGATGGAAACACAATGGTAGCAATCTCATCTCTAGAAGACATTTACAGTACAGTAAATTGCTGTAACAGTGCAATTTGCATGACACTATAACTAAACAGAATCTCAAGGGCACATTGTCCAATGGAGAAACATATAATCTTATAATTATAGATTATAAATTTTATGTAAGAAACGTTTTATTGGTCACATTGACCCTTAACCAAATTGTAGGTCATTTCAGAATGTGTATAATTTCAGAAGAGAAATTACTTGCAACTCAAGGGTTATGAGGGTCTCCATTCCAAAATGAATGAATAATAACTTAAAGAAAATAAAAGTAAATGAGTTACCCACATCCTATGAACTTAAGTCTTCAGATGTAGGCAACTGTACTTTGCTGAATTGGAAAATCAGCTTTTGCCAAGTATTTAAGTCCCCTTTAGGACATGGAGAACTAAGGAGATATGGGAATAGAAAATTCTTAAGTCTAAGGAAGACTGAAATATATTCTAATCAAAGCAGTTTAATTAGCAAACTTTCTGATCTAAACCTCAGTTATTGATATGAGGTTATTTTGCCGTTGTGGCTTTAATTATATATTCTGAATTCAAGATATGACTATTTATTGTTCATTATACTGATAGTATCATGGGGACATTTTAGGGTTGCATAATAAATATTAATCTTGATAATCTGTTCTGTAAGTTTTCCTGTTCTCACTATAATTTGTAGCAATATGCTCAAGACCACTTACCAAATGGCATTAAAAGTCACAACTTGCCACCACTCAGGTTTCTATTCAATTGTTTAGCTCTGAAACACACAACCATTAATTTTCTTATAAACGACTTCAAATATTTAGCACTTAGAACAAATGCAAGATAAAAATAGTCAGTGTGGATAAGCAATATGAATAATTCAGCATTCTAAAAATATATTAATCAGACAGTATCTGATCTTCTCTTCACTTTGGGCTAAAATCAGAAGACCTTTATTGAACTCACATTTTAATAGCAAATTGAGAAAATCAACTTCACTCTCTTGTGCCCACCCAGGTAATAACAAAACTTCTGTGAAAACACCAGCGATGCTTAAGAATTCGCAAACACTTTTGTGCTGAAAGAGCACTACTGCCATATCCAGCATTATTCAAAAGATTACATAGAAAATTGGCCAGCCTGAGGAATATAAAAATATACAGTTATAGTAAGAAAAGGCATACAAAAATAATTTGAAGATAATAGACTGGCTTTGTTCATCTGAGAGTTTCAACATTCTCTGCATTGTTACTTTATCCCACACAGAACACTTCTGTGTGTAATTACTATGAAAAATTAGTAGTAAGATGGAGCATAATAATAAAAAGCTTAATTAGCCAAATAAAATGCAAAATTTATTTCCACCCAGTTATTTATGAAAGGTCTAGTAACTTAAAGAACTTATGTTCTAGAAGGAAATACAGAAATATAAGCATGTATTTATGCTAACTTTTGGTAAATTTAAGGAAGTTTGTTTCAGTATTTTAAAAGGACAAAGAGGGAAAATCCAACCCAGCCTGGTCCAAGGGTTGTCACGTGGAATGAGGCAATAGGAAAGGTTAAAGCGAAGTAGAACCTCAGGGAAATGTGCAGAGTTAGATAGACTAATGTTGAGTGACAGGAGAAAGGAAAGAAGGGAAAGAAAAAAATTAAAAGGAAAAAATGGGAACAAAGCTTATGTATATAGCGGGGTGGAGGGGTTGAAGGGAGGGCAGGGGAATGAGAAAAAATAAGAATCGAGATATATCATATACTGGTACAAATTCTCAATGATGAATGTGATCATAAGGTATCCCTTATGTATACCAGTAAATGTACCAGTAAACTCACTTTAAATGTTTAGGGGCAGAGATCAGGTAGTAAATACACTGTTTTATTTTTATTTTACTGGTTCCAAAAGCATTCCACTAACTGAAAGAATGTTAGTATTTATCATGTACATGAACATTTATTTTTCCATCAGTATATCTTATATTTCTTGTCATTGTCCATTTGTTTTGAATTGGTCAATGAAGTTTATGTAAATTCAGTCATTATATCTTTTCATGCATGTACAAGTGGTCTTCTGTGGTAACATTAATAATCTTTCTGCAACCTTTTCCCTCTGTTCCAGGATTGTAATGCCTTTTATAAAGACCTGCCTGATGGTTCTGCCTTCAGTACAGACAATATGGAAAAGTGTGACAGATGTTGTCGTTGCCCCATTGTGCACAAGCATAGGACGAATTTTCTCTTCTGTCAGCCTTCAGCTGAGCCATGAATGAACATTAAGACCCCAGGTCTGGAGATTTGGATACTGTAATACGTCTTTGTTGTTATACCATAAAAGTACTACTGTTCTGTTGATTTCTCAACTGTTCAAATGAAGAAAAATATTGAGATTAGAAGCCATATTTAGAAAGATTTATTGGCCAACTTCAAATAATGCTTTTCTAATTAATAGCCAAGGACTTCATATCTAATTTTATAACCTAGCAACGCTTACTTTTAAAGACAGGCAGTTTTTGCTTTAGTAAAAAAAGAACATATTTTGAACTGATAAATTTATAGTGATCAAGGAACACTTCTCTCAAAACACTATAATAGTTTTGTGCACTGCTACACAAAAAGCTGGAATTTCTTATTTTCTTATGCTCGGGGAGTAATACTTTTAAAATTACTTTTACAGACATAATCATGAGGATACCTAGAGATATCACATCCAAACATCCTAGATTACAGTAACAAAAACATACAGTGATGTCACTAATATCAAATGTCACAAAACAAATAAATAGGAAAATAGACAGGAAAATGTATTCCTTTTAAATGTACTATTAACACAAAGGCTTATTTAACAAGATTTTTCCCTTTACTGTATATTTTGTACTTAATATAAATGTTACTCTAATTGGATGTCTTCAAAGCATTTTTATATTTGTTGTCATGTTGAACTAATATATATAATAAGCAAATGTATCTTCCACAAGAAGACTTCATGAAAATATTGCACTGTCTTGATTATGAAAGCATTTACATAGCTTCTGTGTGGATGGGATGCAGAAGGTTCATAAATGGGCTCTTCTTTCTCACTTTTCCAAGCAGAATTCTGAAAAGCTTTTGCACTGATATTTATCTGTCTGTGATGTTAAATCATATCTAATTGACATTTTGTCTTATAGTTAGAAATTAAATCTATATTCTGCATTCCTATGAATGTTTCACTTTACTTTCAGGTAATATTGGTGCTAATTAACAACATTTTATGATAAAGGCTATTTTTGACACTTCAGTACAATTTCCACTACATGATTCAGGTAGAGAGACTTACAGAGAAGTTGTCAATTTGGGGGATCCATGCTACTGAGCTATATGCATAAATTAAAAGCTAACAACTGCAAACTTTTAATAAGGATATTAATTTTGTAACATATGAAGTTATTCTGTGATTTGCGGGCTGTAGGGTCTTATTCTAAAGTTATGAGCTACCATGACTTTATAAATCTCATTCTAAAATGAAAAAGGCATATACAAAAGTGCCCACAGTGTGAGTAGTGACTTGTATATCTTAAGTGTATAAATGTGCAAATTTCAGAATTGCCATCAGAACATGAAATAACTTTCCTTTGAATATTCTCAGAAGTGATAGATCTTCAGTCAATGAAGATTAATAAAACTAAAAGTTGTCACTTTTGGTGAATAAAAAGGATGATTAAACTGAAATACTATTGGGAACAAATCAAGAGAATAATTAAATTATGAAACTCATATCTTTTTAAAGGTAATTATAAAAGAGACTTTCAAAACTGTCCTAGGACATTGTGACATCCATAGAAAAACACTCAAGATCATGACCTTAAAGCTTTGATACTCACTTAGCTGTATAGGTTTTATATTAGTTAAAAAGATCAATCAGTCTCATAGCTTTATAGTTATACTTTGTATTTTAAATGTTTTTTAAATATTGGCATGTATTGATTAGCAAAAGGTATTTGATTAATAAAATATCTATTTTAATTAATCACAAACTTCAACATTTTGAAATAGTGATTGGCAAGTTTTAAGACATCTATATATATATAGTTATATAATTAAACCTTTTAACTTCTAATATATGAAATATTGTTTCCTTATTTCTGAACAGTATTGATTACTTTCCAAATTAATTTTATTGAGATTTTTCATGAATTATTTTATTTCAAAATTCACATTTTGAATAAAGTAAATTAAAGTTTAGTATGCAATCATGTTAGTCCTTTTATTTGGGTTAAAGGGAAGTAGAAGAAAAGGAGACTCAAAACTTTCTAAAAGCTCATAAATGTATTCATTGTTTTTATTATATTTTATTCTACTCATTGCTTTTATTACATTAAATGTGAAATGCATCAATATAAGTTTCAAACTAATTTTAACTTATTAAAAACTAAAAATTGTACTTTTAAAAATTATGAGACTAGTAACTTCATTGTTTGTTTTTGTAGCACTTAAAGAAGTTCCACGAAAATTTTTTTGTCACCTGATGAACAGTATGAAGTAAATGGTTCACAAACTTACCATATTTCATCTTCCTTATAAAATCTCTCTTTGGTAATTCTAAATAAAAAGATATTTCTCTTTCTAATTTTTTTTTTTTTGGAGGGGTAACGGGGATCAAACTTGGGACCTTGAGCTTGTGAGACAGTCTAATTTTTTAATATGAAATTAATGACAATATAAATCACATATGCTTAGATACCTGTACCATGAAGCCAGACTACAGTCCAAAATTATTTTTGGAAAGCAAGTATGTGAAGAGTTGTTGATGATATTGGCATTAATTTTCTTGCGGTTAGTAAATCTGGGAAAAGGACCAACCTCTAGTAAGAAAATAGGTGTTTGGCTTTTTAAATGTGCCTTATAGTTTCAAAGCACTTTAAAACTCATTCTCTTTGATAGTCATCTACAACCCTTTCATTTATTCTGATGTCTTTTGTTTTTGTTTGTTTGGTGGTGGTGGTAGTGGTGGTGGTGGTGGTTGCTGTTGTTGTTGTTGGAGACAGGGTCTTGCTATGTAGTTTAGGCTGGCCTTGAACTCATTGTATCATCTCACCTAAAACTCACAAAATCTAATCCTCCTGCCTCAGCCTCCAGAGTGCTGGGATTGCAAACCTGCACCACTATGCCCAGCGACTTCTGGATGGTTTTCTTGGGATGCTGTTGAGCTGTAGTGAAAAGAGCCCTGCCCTATAAACCAGGCCTTGGGATTCCCACTTCAGCACTGCCATCCCTGAAGCATCTCATCCCCTGTAAATGTTTAAGCTCTAGGCTTCAATTTTTATATCTTAATGAAAGGACTGGCCTAAATGATCTCTCAAGACATCCTTCAGCTCGTTCTTTCCTATGATTTCAGTAGGATAAAAAGATTTGGTTATATCTCTTCTAGCCAATCCAGCTGTTCAGGCCAGGATAGTTCAAAAATTAACGAATTTTTTTTTTAAAAAATTAAAGTTGCAGTTGACTACTGGCATACTATAAATATATTCAATAATGTTTGTACTTTTCATTCTTCCAACAATAGTTATACTGTGTCTGCAGCTTTGTTCTTTGTGACAAGAATTCCTTGATTTTTGTCAGTTCTATTACTAGTTTCTCCAAAAAGAACGCCTTTCTCTATAGTTTAATCAGGATTAATCTCTTGGAAGGTTCTCTACCAGAATCACTCTACACCACTTCTGGTTTGGATCTTAAATATGCTCCAAAGGCACATATGATAAAGATTTGGTTCTCTGCCTGCCATAGTGGAAGGTGTGGAAACTTTAAGGAGCCTCCCGGGACGGAGTTAGCTCATTGGCTGCAGGCCCTTGAAAGGGATGTTGAGACCCTAGCCCTTCTTATCTCTCTGCTATCTGCTTCCTAGCCACAATGCTGTAAGTAGCTTCCTTTGGCATTTGCTTCTACAATGATTTTCTACCTAATTTTAGGCCCAAGGCAACATGAGCTAAACCACCAAATACTGAAACTACTTCTAAATCTGAACCAGAGTAATTCTTTCCTGACCATCCTCATCACCAACTCCACCTTCAGCCTGGCTCTTAGCCAGAGCCTTCTATCTGGTCTCACTCGTTGCTTTCAATATGATCTCTAATCTTGTTCTCTTTATAAAAAAAAATCATATCAAAACTCTGCATCACTCTGCTTAAAATTATCAATTGTAGGTCAATTTGTTAACCTCAGAATGATCATCCAAACTCTTGAGTGCCATACACAAGTCCTTCACTGTCAGTCCGTTGTCACCTTTTGTGCTTCTTCTGTGGCCTTTTTGAAAACTGGGCACTGCTCCCTGCAGCTCTGGATTTCTCTGATCCATGCCAGAAACCCTTCCTCTCATAACTCCTACCTGTTTCCAAAGCTCCTCTACCCAAAGTACATTTTTTGTGCCTTCATATAAAATCTTACACAAACCCCTATCATCACTTACCATACTGTAAAATTGACCCTGTCAATTAATCCCGTTAGACAACTAGTGAAGTCTTTGAAAAAAAAAAAAATGACTTCATCTTTGTTTCCTGGGATCCTGCAATGGTGCCCAGCACTTAATGAGTCCAATCAGTATTTTCTGACTACCTGACCAAATATCTGAAGAAAACCTGGAATGACTTCAGAACTAAGGGTAGGAATCACACTGTAACTTAATTTTTTTTCCACTTGCAAAAGGAATTTGAAACATATTGATTCGAATAAAATTTTTCTTCTCACTATTTTCTCCCTCATGAATCATTAAGTTGGGAAAACTAAAACATATAAAGTAAAATCAGGTGTATTTCACTGTGCAGGAGTAGTATCTGTCTTTACTCTCCACTGTCTTGCCTGAAACTTACTTTTAAATCTTTTTTTTCCCCTCATTGAGTTTATTGGTACATTTCAGGTATACAGTAGAGTTACATTCATTATTGGGATCTTGTACCTTTACATGCTAATAAGGGAAAAGAAAAACGTATGAGACAATTACTTTTAATTCTTCAAGAATAGAAAACCCTAGTGTTGGAAAGCTTCTTGGAATTTTTATTTATTTAGATCATTATTATTAGTAGTAGTAGCAGCAGTAGTAGTAGTACATGTGTGTAATGCATAATGTTTACATTCTTTGTGGGAAGTTGGTTCATGTACATAAGACATCTTAATTACTCTTCACATCCCTTACCCCTTCTCGCCTCCCTCCATTTCTTGATCCCCTACCCCTCTGAGAATAATCTATCTTCCCATTTCTTATTATCTTTTATTTTGCTCTCAGAAACATACCTTCACACTTTTTTAAATGTTGCTATTTCTTTATTAGTATAGGATATCATTGCCAACTTTGAATCACATATTTCTGAAACAGCATTTCTACAGAATTTTACATTTTAGAAAACCAGCCTCCTACATTGTCTCACTTGAATCTTAGGACAATTACAGCAAGAGGGAAATAATACAAATAATGGCTCAATTTCTTTAGCTTACAATTTCATCATTATAGAATGCTTGTTAAAGACAACAAGAGCTTACAGGATTTTTACAAGGTTGTCTTATTTTAAAAACTAAGAAAAAAGCGCAGCTGCAGTGACATTTACCATATCCGATATAATTTTCCCAATTTTGTATATTCTCTTCCTTCCAGGAGTATGTGCAGGGGAAGCTGACGGGGCGGAGACAAAGGAGACAGGATGTGCTACTCAGGCTCATGTTTTAGGAATAAAAATAATTTGGCCTCCTATTATCTAGTTATCCCAATGACTTCTTTCATTTCAAAAACAGTGTCTTTGCTATTTCATCCCTAAATAGCAAAATGAGCAAAAGAAGTCCTCCGTTTGTCATGTGTTTAAATCATTTTTTTACCTAGTCTCCAGCTTCCTTTTTTGGATTATATCTGAAATGTTACCTCCAGAACCTTACACCTTGATGCTTTTGAAGTGAAAAATATCCTTGAGTGGGGAAATATTTTAGTGGCCTAGCAGTCATCTTTCATTTTAGTGTGAATAGATGGTCTAAAGGGGACACTGAACACTACAGAGGAGACCAATTATAAGGGCCCTCAGCACTACAGAACACCAAAGACAAATTAAGAGATATGCCACCAACAGGAAGGCTGGGGCAGAGAAGAGGAAACAGGAGGCATCAATGACGTGACTTTCACTTTTCAAAGTGCTGCTTTTGGACATCCCCGCTTCAAATCCCTAGAGCAGGGGTCAATGGAAAATGAACAGGGGAGGAGAGAGTTGAAGTTAGCAAAAGCCTTCTTTTTCTCCACATAGGAGAGATGTTTTTGTCTTATTGAACCAAAAGGGTCCTGGGAGGGGGTATGATGACTCTGCTGGAGCCATGTACCCTACAAAGAGGGCAAAGCACAAAACTGAAATTGAAAACTGAATTATAACTGTGACCACCTGTGTCTCTTTCACCTTGCCCCTCTCTGCTACTGACTGCTGCTATGTGTATGTGGCAAAGAGAGGTGACCATAGCGCAGTCAGAGAAATTAGAGGACACCACTTCAACAAGTATCCAAAAATAGGATGGAGACATCTATCTGCCTGCACTTGGACGTGTGAGGTCACCCAGCTTGGATACATGGCTGGAGAAGTCATTTTGCCATTATAGGAAAAGGTAGGGGTGGAAAGTGGTGAGAGAAAGGAAGAGCCCTGACTCAGAGCGGGAAACAGCATGCAGCCAAGGGCAAATATTTCTTGCAGACATAAATGGATCCGGAAGAGATAAGAGCAACAGGTCATCTTTGGAGCATTCTTTTCTTTCCCTGCCTCTCAGACACTTGTCACTGAGCCCCAGCTAGTAACAAAAGGGACGAGGAGGGCAGTAAGCAGCTCCTGCTTCCCCACTGAATAGCACATCAGTTCCAGCCAACGGCTGTCTCCACTATCTGGGACAGTGAAACAAGGAGCCCTTTGGAGGGTTGCAGGGATGGGCACACCATTTCCCAGGAAGTCAAGTGACAAAGATTAGGGTGCTCATTTTACTGAGGAAGAAACTGTAGTCCTTTATGATTATGTAGTAGGAGAATTTTGATCTCCATATAAACAATAACAGGGGCATTGGTATCTGTTGAGAACTATCACCTGCGTGGCACTTACTCAATCTGCAGTGACCCTCTGACGTGGCTTCTGTCATCCCCATTCTCACATAATGAAACTGATGCACTAAAAATTGAGAAATGTGTCCAAGATAACAGTGGGAATTAGGATTCAGGCCAAGAGCATCTGACGTCAGAGTCAATACTCTGAATCGCTGTGGGGAAGATGTTCTATTTTGCCGAGGATATTGGCATGACTGTTCTATAACTTGTTCTCTCCTCTACCCAAAAATCTTTCTCATCATCTCAGTCGTGCCACTTTTTCTGCTCCTCACTGTCCATCCTTAGATTCAGTCACATGACCTCGGAGGTGAGGCCTCCCCCAAACTGGCATCTGGGCCCCCGGTACCCTCCTCACTTTGT